TATATATATATGCTAGCAATTATCTTCAAACCTGCGAAACCAAAAGAAAAATCATAATGCCTAAACCAAGTCTCACTTCATCAAATTACTAGTGAGCCAAGTAAACCTCTTACATAAGGGCAGAAATTAATCAAATTGAGCTGTGTATGTTATGACTTAGGCATTTAGTTTCGTAATTAGTTAGACTGGTATGAAGTATTAATGTACAAATAATTAGTTACGGCTTCTGTTATCAAACAGCTTAGTATTTAAGCTCAATTGAGCATATTTAATTGGAATAGCAACGGACTCGATTCTTCAAGAAAAAAGCTTCTTTCTCTTTCTAGACTTTTCTTTGTGTCTTGATATGGTATCAAAGTGAAACAAACAAGTTATTGAAGCTTGGCCCAATTCAGCCATGGCCGATGCTTCATCATCATCTTCTTCTCCACGCGCCGCTCCAATTGTCTTCAATCACTCTCTTTCGATTCGTCTCGACAACGGCAACTTTCTTTTGTGGTGGAAATTGGTTCTTTCGACGATTCGAGGGCACAACATGCAGCATTTCATTTTCGGAACAAAGCCGCCGCCATTAAAATTTCTTTCAATTGAAGATGAAGACCTTAGTAGTGTTAATCCTGAGTTCGGTCTCTGGGAACAACAGGATTGTTACTATAGCTCATTTTCATAACCAAAGTAGTGCTTCTAGCCGCCATTCTCTCTCTCATGGTGGAGGTCAAGTGCAGGCACTTCCTGCAACTCCTAAAGTCACTACACATCCAAATTGGTATCCCTGACTCAACAGCGTCCAACCATGTTACTGCTAATTCAGACAATCTAACTCACAAGTCTTGAGGATTTTGGACCAGAGCAAGTTCATGCTGGTAATTGTATGGGTTTAAAAATTTAGCAATGTTTATTTTCTGTTTTGTGAAGGCACAGAATTCCAATACAATTCTACTGGAGAGGCAGCTTAAAAATGGTCTTTATGTTTTTGAGTCCTCTCAAATTGACCTTCCCAAGCATCAGCTAGTCAAAGCTTCTTTCAAGCCACAGTCTCTCTCGACAGTTTCTCCAGTCCACGTGTGTACTACTCAGTCTATTTTTGTTCCTCTCAATAAGGATGTTAGCGTACTTACTGTTTCTTCTCGTGATCATTTATATAGTCTATGGCACAATAGATTAGGCTACAATCAATAAAACTTCTCAACTTTTCTGCTCATCTAGTTGCTTGGGAAAAACACACAAATTTCCTTTCTCTTCATCTCACACTTGTCTATACAGAGCCCTTATGCTTAGTTCATTCTGACCTGGGGGCCCTTATCCTGTTTTATCTTCAAGTGGCTATAGATATTACATCAGTTTTGTGGATGCTTGTACTCGTTTTACTTGGATGTATTTGCTTAGGCAAAAATCCGATGCATTACAGACCTTTGTTAATTTCAAGACACAAGTTGAATTACAGTTGGGCCACAAGCTTAAAATCTTGCAATCTGATTGGGTGGTGAGTATAGGCCTTTTTCACTAGTCTTCTTGAGTCTCATGGAGTCCTTCATAGACATCCTCGTCCTCGGTACTCATGAGCACAATGGTGTAATAGAAAGGAAACATGGTCATATAGTTGAAAATGGTCTTACTCTTTTAGCACAGGCCTCTACGCCACTAAAATATTGGAATGAGGCTTTTCGAGCTGCTGTCTTTCTCTATAATCATCTTCCTAACACAGTTTTACATTGGAAATTCTCCTCTTGAAACCTTATTTCACTCTAAACCTGATTATACTATGCGCTAAAGGTCTTCGGTTGTGCTTGTTTTCCCAATACTAGCCCTAGATACACTGATGTATTATAGATATGCGAAAAAACAAATCTCTGTTGGTGGCTTGCTAAGCTCTACAAATCACTCGCCTCTGCTTTCAGGAAAATGACAGCTATCTTGCAAATATCAATCCAAACCATAATTTCAATCCAAGCCAACAGTTGAATCCCAAAACCAAAAGTTCAATCGCCAATATGGTAGAAAGTAAATGAAAACTCATGGCATAAATCTTGCAATATCAATCCAAACCAAAATTTAGAGTAGTTCATTCAAAATCTTAATTAACAGTCGGTGACAAAAAGACTAAAATGACAACTATCTTTCATGACAGAAATGAAAAAACATCTTATAACCAGAACAAGTGCCTAACAAAACATATCCTCTTAAAAAAACTTGCTCAAACTGAATCTCAAGAAGCAGCTCTTAAGCGTCAACCCTCTCTGGGGGAGCCTCCAGGTGAAGTTTACCGGTCGGCTTCGCCAAGAGGTCGGTGTGCTCTTGGAATGGGGATTTGGTGAAACGAGTCTCCCTCCAAAACTCCGGTGTGAGGAAACCATACGTCTTCAATAGACAGTCAAATGTTGCCTGCAAAAAGTGGATTAAGAACAAAGCAAATCACACCACATACAAACCAATATTCTAATCACTACAATACAAATCCAAATCTACTTACAGTTCATCTAAATGAGTCTATCTGAATTCATTTTCCACCAAAAGTAAGCACAAACCCCATTATAAAAGTGCCCATCTAACACTGGTTCTAAATCCTTAATTCTGTATAATACTTTACCTACCTATTTAAATTAACACCAAATCTTAAATTGTGGTAATCCAGGTAAGAACAATAATATTACTCTATGCGCAGCATAATTATAATCTAAATATAGAAATTAACACCACCTATCAGTTAGTGCAAAAATACATTAAAAGAATTTCCACTATATGCAAAATCCTATTGAAATGTAACCAGATTTCAATAAACTTTAAGAAATGAACATTAACAACTATTAGAATAATATATTTCACCCATAAGTTAAACCATAGACTTAAGAATAATACCAATTATGATAATGACATCAAATTTTACAGAAATTAATCAATCACCAAAAAGACTTAAATTTTCACCCATAATTGAAAAAGTAAATGAAATTTTAAAAATGATGAAAAAACAAACCTTGACAAAGTTTCCAAGCGTCTTGGTGGATCCCCTCGATGAAGTGAAAACATCCTCGATCCCAGCGAACTGGAGGACCTTCTTTGGAACCCTAGCCGCCACAATTCCAGCACCACGAGGGGCCGGAACCATCCTGACGGTGACGGAGCCACACTTTCCGGTGACCTTGCAAGGCACGGTGTGAGGCTTTCCGATCTTGTTACCCCAATAGCCTCTCCTCACGGGGATCACCGAGAGCTTCGCCAGAATGATCGCGCCGCGGATGGCGGTGGCCACCTCCTTGCTGCATTTGACGCCGAGGCCGACGTGGCCGTTGCCGTCGCCGACGACGACAAACGCCTTGAACCGGGTCCGCTGGCCGGCGCGGGTCTGCTTCTGGACCGGCATGATCTTCATGACCTCGTCCTTGAGGCTGGGGCCCACGAGCGTGTCGACGATCTGGTGCTCCTTGACGGGGAGCGAGTGGAGGTAGATCTGCTCGAGGGAGGTGATCTTGCCTTCCTTCACCAGACGGCCGAGCTTCGTCACTGGGACCCATTTCTCCTCCTCCTCACGGCGTCCTGCTCCGCGGCGGCGACCTCCGCGGCCGCGGTCGCCTCCGCGTCCGCCACGACCTCCGAAGCCGCGCCCGAATCCTCCGCGCTCTCCGCCGCGTTCCGCCATGCTGGATTTGGTGTTGTGTGTGATGGGGTTGAAGAGAGAGAAATAAGAGAGAGAGAGTGGTCTGCGCTGAGGTTGAGAGAGTGAAAAACCCTAACGAGCGAAGAGAGCTTTTATATGAAGACGGCACAGAGAGAGAGAGGCGATATCTGAGCTAGCTAGGGTTCGGAGGGAAGTTTTTGGGGCGTGACTGGACTTTGCGTGTGATTTTGTTGGGCCAACTAGGCCCAAATTGTGTAGTTAGCTTAACAGCATAGCCCAAAGGAGATGTGGATTTGAATTGGATTTGAATGATTGTTTCCGATTTTAATTCCTAATACACAAATCCCGTTAAATATTTAATACTTAGATAACAGAAAGATCGAAATTAATTGTGAGACATTTTAAAAATCAAAAATCAAAGTACAGTGGAGGACAAATCTCATGTGCTGTTTATGAGATTAACCCAAAAATTAATGATAATGATAATAACGTAGTAATTAACATAAGAACATAATTATATAGTTATTATTATAGTGATATTACATTATGCTATTCTTATTATAATATTTCAAAAATTTTACTCTATTTTAGTTACCATGCCCATTTAAGGGTCAAGACTAATAAATTCCATCCCTTGAGATAATTAGACTCGTTTTGTGGATCCAAACCACGTTCAAGAAACTTATGTGGGTCCTAATTTAGTGAGTCATGGGTAATCAAAGGCCCATTTATCTTTTCACTTGGCATTATAAATCTTACTTGAGGAGTTTACAAATTAATCAAGTTGGAAATAAAAGTGATGGAGAATTTAATCCCAAAAAAGTCTTCCCTTTGTGTTTTGGAAGCCCAATATCATTTCAACCCTTAGGAGTTGAAGATTTTAAGAAATTAAGTTCTAGAACATTCCTTATCAGTAAAAAGGTCTAATTTCGTCCTGAGCATGGGAAGAAGATATTGGAATTAATAGCTTTTCAACTTGCTAACTAGCTTGATAAGTCTCATAGATTTGAGCTACAATTCAAATATTTTCGCTGCAAGTCTCATTTTATTCATTCAAAGTTATCTCAAAGTATACCTGTTAGAGTTGAGCGCTAAACTTAGTTCTTCGAGACCGCATAACATGTGAAAATTGTGCAGTGCGTAAGGCCCCACAGAGAAGGCCACTTTCCTATGCAACCAAATTGGTGGAAGATCGAGTGATGTTGTGCGAGTTTTGCTAGCGTTGTACAAGTTTCACATGGGATCATTTGGTGCGCGCTTATAGTGACTCCTAATATAGCGATTGTAACCTTCCAATTGCCCAAGAATAACGCGGCATTAAGAATCTTAATGTGCTTGTGCTATGGCCTTACATGAAGATCGTTTTCACATCTTTTGTGATGTTGCAACATATGGGCAATTAGTATGGATGATAGCAATATTTTGAAATATATAGAGTTGTAGTACACTTACGGCCAAACAAGAACAAAGCTAAATACCTCTCCTTACATATATGGATGATAGCAATATTTTTTCTTTTTTTCCTGATCTCAATTCTGTCTTTTCTATCTAAAGTCTATCTCAGTTCTACATCACGTAGCTTTGTGTTTTTATTATCATACATAACAGAGTTGCAATATGCTTTTATAACACTTATATATATCCCAATAATCTCTCACTAGCGCCCCATTAGTCCTTCTAGATGACCATCATACTCTTTTGCCGGCAAATTCTTAGTATAGTAATAAAAAAGATCAACGAATGCAATATGCCAAATTCTTATTATGGAAGAGAAAAAAAAATGCAGATTCTATCAGTCATGGATACAGAGGAAAAGTTACTTCAAGAAATATGAAGAAAGACATATTCAATCATTGCAAAGCAAAATAGACAAACAAAACTTCCAGATACGTAACTACCAGATATATTTGTTTAAAATGTTTTGTAAGCTTTTAGAAAACAATATAACGATGTAAACTTTGTATTGTTAATTAGGTAAACTTTTGTACGTCCTTATCATCACATAATTCTACGAAAAAAAAAATGAATGATATTGATATAATAAATGGAGCTAGCTAATTCATGAACGATGGAAATGTTTACTAATCACATTATTAAATGCAACGACTTGTAATGAAATCTTAAGAGTTAAAAGAAAATATTAATTCAATGATTGTTTAACAAAGAAAAAATGACTCATATGAAAACCTAAGTAATAAATAAAATAGTAGAATAGAGAAAAAGACAAAAGTGATCCTTTAATAATAGCTGGCCAAAATTACGTGTAAGATTATGGGTGGTTTGCATGGGAAAGACGCATGTAGGACTTGACACGTACACCTTCTCGAACACCACTCATTCTGAGGCCAAACGGTACTTTAGGATTTAGGATAAAACTAACCTTTCCTCAAATCTATGTTGTTTTCATTTTTCCTCTTTTTTTTTTTTCTTTTTTCAAGCAAAATAATACAAAAAAGGGGATTTTTGGTGTTAGATCCAAAGGAATTATAAGCTGGCAAGTATAGCAAATACGTAATAATAATGGAGGCAAGAGAAGGGATATTGGCGGAGAAGGGGGAGGAGAAGAAGGATTTTGGTGAAAACGAAAGCAGAAGACACAATGAAGGGGTCAACAAGGAATTGATAAGAGAAGCGATAATATCACCATCGGAGGGCCCAACGCACCACCAAAAAGAAAATGATGATGATCACGATCATCATGATCATCACGATGACGATCAAGATGGGGAACGATTAGCACAACACCCTCATGATCTCCTTGTCTTCTCTCGTTCTGTTCATAAAATCGACTCTTCCCTCGAATAAATCTCTACCTTTTTTTTTTCTTCCTTTTTTCTTTTGCCCGGTTTGTCGCAGAATTTTGGCCTTTTTTTTTTTTTTAAAAAATTTTTTGGTACGTTAAAAAAAAAAAAAAAAAAAAAAAAAAAACTCTGCTAGCAGCTAGTGCGTACCACGTGTGTTGTTTTTGTATTGATTTCTATCAGAATTTCGTTATTTCTGGGATTGATACATATATAGTTGGGTTGGGTGTTATGAAGTTTTTATGCACTAATATTGATGTTTCTTTTCTTCTTCTTCTTCTTCTTCTTCTTCTTCTTCTTCTTCTTCTTCTTCTAATGTCAAAAGTAGTACTTCTGAAAAATATGTGTAAATTTGTAAGGGGAATCTTTAATGATAAATTAGTGTATTAGGATTGATACTTGTTAAGGATTTTTGTCACTTGAATAGAGGATAATGGCCGTACTGTATTAATGCTTTAGAGGACCGGTTAAAGATTAACAAAATGTGTTCTGTAGAAGTTGTTTTTTTTTTTTTTGTCAAGTAATCTACCGTATTATCACCAGTAATCTACTAGATTGTTAGAGGAATATCAAACCGGTTGTCTGCGGCGACCTAGATCAGAAGTAAGAGTGTTGTGCTTTTTGTTGAATCCGCAACAGTATCCTTTTAAGGTAGCGAAAGTCCTGGTCGAATATTATCGCAACAACATAAAAACACTTAGAAATTGACAACAAAGATTGGATGCTAGATTTTTGAAACTCTAAATTGATTAACTTTCGAAACTGATAACACAAGATATTAACGATAGAACAAAAGTTAAAACAAGAGACTAATGAATAACTTTTGAATAAGAAAATAACTTTTGAATACGAAAGAGACATAATGAATTATACTCGCCACCCTTGTACTACTTAAAATTACAATGATACTATGATTATAAATAAGAATATGATTATAGGTCAGAAACGCCATACAAACTGTGAGAAAAAGCCTCAAATAAAACATAGTTTGTATAGAAAAAGCCTCAAATAAAACCTTTATAAAAACAAAAACATAGACGATTATTTTTTTCTCTCAAAAAATTACATATTCTATCTTTTTAAATACCTGACTTACGTACTATTTTTAAAAAACTTCTTGATTAATTCTAGTCTAATATTAAGGGGTAAAAATAAAAAAGAATTCCATTTCAAGGGGTATTTTTAAAAATTACCCTTCTCTTTATTTACTTGAGAGTAAAAAGAAAAAGGAAAAAAAAAAGTTACGATTAGGAGAACATGGCTAAAAATTGAATTATATGATGAAAAAAAAAGTGCCTAAAAAGAAGCTTTTTTGTATTTATCATCAATAAAAAAAGAGTCGAACTTCGTTTTATCCCCACCTTCCGTCCATCCACGTGATCGTAATAGAGATTGATTTGAGTTATTAAGTAATAGAGATTTTATTTGTTAATATATATACACAATTAATTAATATTAACATTATGTTTTTTAATTAATATTAATAATATATGTTTGTTAGAATGAAACAATGGAAGGAAAGATAAATTTAACACGCGGATTGAACGTACAAAACTGCCCTCTATGTGTTTCAACTAATATATAATATATCAAGAAAGTATAAAATTATGAGTTTATAATGCCCTATATATGCTGGAGAGTGGAGACCATATATATATAT